TGGTCTATGGGACAAAAGTTTTGACAACTTGTATAGATTTAAGGCATAGATTGAGAGTGAGAGTCCTGGGTCATTGGTTGTGATTGATAACCACATAATCAACAACAAGCTAAGGTTCAATAGGTTCTTTTTTGCAATGAAAACTTGTGTTGATGGTTTCCTTAGGGGTTGTAGACCTTACTTGGCAGTAGATAGCACATTTTTGTATGGAAGGTTCAGGGGACAGTTATGCATAGCATGTGCAGTTGATGGTCACAACTGGATGTACCCAGTTGCTGTAGGTATCATAGACTCTGAAACAAATGAGAATCGGGTTTGGTTCATGGAGAGGCTGAAGGATGCAATAGGCACCCCAGATGGTCTGACAATAAGCATAGACTGTGGACAGGCTATAATGCATGGGGTTAGTGAGGTTTTTCCACAGACTGAGCACAGAGAGTGCATGTACCACCTTGTGCAGAACTTTAAGAAGAGGTACAATGGCAAAATATTTGATGATCATTTATGGTCATCCTCTTATTCTTGGACTAGGTACATGTTTGATAAGCATTACAATGCTATGGCTAGAGCCAAACCAGAGAGTATGAAGTACCTGCAAGAAACTCGTAAGAAGTTGTGGAGTGGGAGCCAGTATGGAGTACAGAGCAAGGTTGACTATGTGACCAACAATTTAGCTGAGTCCTTCAATAATTGGATAAAGAAAGAAAAGGGCAAGCATTTAGATGATTTGATGGATACCATCAGACAGAAGATGCTGATTAAATAGAATAACAGGAAAAAAGTTGCAAAGAAGTTTGAAGGCAAGATCCTACCCCACATTGTGCAGAAGTTGAGGGAGGATAGCTTCAACCTAGACATTGTTGTCATTACAGAGAATGATGGAGTAGCAGAAGTCTGTGCAAAGGGGAGCAGTGATACAGCATTTAGGTTTGTGGTGAACTTAAAGGAGAGAACCTATGTCTGCAGGGTGTGGCAAGGAACAGGAATACCATGCAAGCATGTAATTGCCTACATCACTTTCATTCCTGGACATAAGCTAGAGGACTATGTGGATGACTGCTATTCAGTGGAGAGGTTTAGAGCTGCATATGATGGTGTGATCCCATCCATTCCAGACAAGTCTATGTGGCCCAAAGCCACACATGGCTTTTTTATGCATCCTCCATTGTTGAAGTCCACAGCAGGAAGAAGGAAGAACAGACACAAAGGAGCATTAGAAGGAGGAAGCAGTAGGAAGACAAAGAGGCATGAGTGCCCTATATGCCATCAGTTGGGGCACCACTGATACACTTGCAAGAATGGTGATCAAACAGACATTGCTGCAATGAAACTGGAAAGGTAAGCATTTCTTGAGTCATCTTGCAAATTTTTCTAATATGATGTCCTAACTGCTGTTTTCTGCTAACTGCAGGGGTCAGCCAAAGAAGAAGCTGAAGAAAGCTACTGCAGCCAACACAGAGACAAGTATTGTGGTGGCCACACCTGCTGCAGGGATGGTTTTCCCTCCAAATGAGGCTATGGACAATGCTGTTACCAAGAAAAGGAAGAGAAAGGGCTCATCCACATCTACAAGTGCATCAACATCTCAGAAGCAGTTTTCTAGCAGGTATGATGGTCATTCATCTCCCTGTCATGTTTTCAATTTTCTAGCTATGGACAATGTTTTGAATGTGTGTTTACTTCTTTAAGATCTAGAACTGGATCAAATGACCCTGTTCCTTTCCAAGCTGTGCACCTGGCACCTTACCATGGCCCAGCTGAAGCCACAGATAGTGCCACAGTGATGGCATCATTGAATGAGCAGAGAAGCAGCCAGGTTGCCAGTCCAAGGAGGAGGAAGATTGGTCTCAAGAAGAAGCTCACTCCAAAGAAGGTTGCTACTTCCACTCCACAGGGTGCAGCTGACCCATCCAGCCCAGCAGCAAATACCAGAGGCAGGAAAAAACTTCATCTTGATTAAAAAACAGGTGACTCAGCTAGGTGGCTCAACTCTTGTCCTTTTGAAACAACTCATGTTGGAGAACACCCATCTTTTACGAACTTATGACTGTCATGTTAACATTATATTGAATTTATGCCTGTGATGTGAACTGATGATTGTGTTGTGAACTTATGGCTGTGTTGAAATACTATGTTGAACTTATGCCTGTGCAATGTTGGTATCATCAGTTTGGTCAAATGAAATGTTCACCATAAATTAGCAATGTAGTGTGGTCTGCAATGACATTCCAACATTGATTCATTCATTGATACATCATTGTTCATTCATACATGCATATAGATGAGCACAGCCAAACACACACCTACTTCTTCATTATTGCATACAAGGCAAGAAAGATGGCAACAAAGACTAGCTTCTCAATCTATTTTAGCTGCTGCATAACCCCATCAGCTCTGTCTTTCACTCCACCTCTAGCAGCAGCCTGGGTAGCTTCATGGATGATGGGCAAATGAGCTGGATCTGCAGTAGGTCCTGCTGCAACTGGCTGCAGAGCCACTGGAGCTGCAATTTATGCAGGAGTGACATCCATCTCATCCTCCCACTGATAGAACTGGCAACCTACAGCCTGAGCACAAAATGGTCACCAGATTGTAGGAACCAAGCACTTGAGAAGTAGGAACAAACAAGAACATGACCAATGAACAAAGACATACCGAGAAGTATGGACACTTATGGAAGACACGCTTGGTGTTCTTGCCGGTCATCGAGGTGAATCGATTGGCAAGCACCCTACAGTTGGGGCAAAACACCCGCCTGGTGAGCCTCCTCTCATAGCTACTGCTTGAAGCTTCAGACATGGTGAGTGTTGAGAGAAGTGAGTGGTGAAGAAATGAGGAGTGCACTGCCTAGGGGAGCCAGGGTCATTTTGGCGCCAAAGCCAACAAGATTGGCGCCAAAACCCACCTAAATGGCGCCAAGAGGCTAGGTCCTGGGAGTGGCATAGAAGAAACACACAAGTTTTCAGTCATCCTCTTACTCCCCAGTGGCATTCAAGTCTTTTCCACCTCCGTTACCCACCGTTAGTAGCTACAATGGACAGAATGACTTGGGCGAAAGAAGTTTCCAAACCCAGGGACGACAGTGATAGACCCAACTTTGTAGGGGCATTGACGATTAGGCCATCTTTTTTAATGGCACTGGCGTAAAAGGCCCTCAGAGAAACGGATGATTATTTTAGGAAGGATCAGATACTGCAATTGTTTATTGATCCGGATGGATGGACACCAGAGCTGAACCGGGTTTAGAGAAGGCTTTGAACACAGACGGCCGTGTTCGGCTGGGATGAAGTACTGTTCATGCTGGTATGGATTTACTGTGCACGTTGGTATTTTGTGGGAGAAAAACGCTGTTCCGACTGAAAAAAAGTGATCCAGCCAGCCAATCTTTACCATCCGAACGCAGCCGACGTTGCTAGCTAAGTTCACCCACAAACATGCCCCACAATATCAGAAGAACCATGAATCATTGAATAGTAAGTAGCTTTACTATGGCCCCCCTTTAGCACGGATTCTTCCTACTCCGGCTCCCACCTCCATTTTACTTTTGGCTTCACGAGCTCCTACGAGCTCTATGCCTCTATGAGAGGAAGAGGCGAGAGAGAGAAATATAGCTCCAATGAACAGTGCAGCACATTAAAATGGCAGGTGGGAGCAGAAAGAATCCGTGCTAAAGGGCCCTATAGTTGATCGACATATAGGGATGGATTCGAACGGATACAGGGTCAGTTACAACTATTTATCATATTTAATTCAAATTCGAATACGAATACAGGTGTTGTCAAATAATAATACAAAACGGATATCTTGAATTCGGATATCTATTTGATTTCGACCACATGCACACTCTAGCCTTAAGTGTCAACAAAGACTGAGTAGTATGTTGCATGTTGTTAAAAGAATAGCATCGTTTTCTCAGAGTTTAGACTTAAATTCCATGAGAACAACTAAACTACCTAGGTCACTTTTAAACAGCAAGATAAACATTTTTCTCGATAAGTTTACAAGTCTAATGATGAAAATTCAATTTATTATATTGTTTTAAGAAAATAAATCAATGCGTTACTCCGTACATTATTCCATCGCACACAATTCTATGCTTGTTTTACATATGGATATGGTGTATTAGGATTATAAAAAATAACTAAAAAAGTGATGAACAACCAGGCAAATTATGTTACAGGCAGCTCCAATCTTTGATCGGTTGTTAGTTACAATGGTCAAATCAATAGTCTGCTTGAGCATACATGCTCACAATTTTTTGTTAATTTTTTTAATGATAGGTAACATGTACATTAACAATGATGTATTTATTGTGACTTTGTTAATCTACCATTCTCTCTCAAAAACATCATGGGTTAGGATGAGTATGCACGTGTATGTGAGCATCTTTATTTTTATGAGCATGGGTATTTATACTCCCTCTGTAAAAAAAAAAAGAGTGTTTTTGAGTAGTCAACTAATCTCAAATTTAACTAAATATATATAAGAAATAATAATGTTGATGATACAAAATAAGTATCACTAGATTAGTCATACAATTTCATAGCAAACCTATAAGAAGATACAATGTTAATACTATTTTTTATGAATTTTGTTAATTTTAAAATTGATCAACTCCTCAAAAAGCGGACGTGTATTATTTTTGGACAAAGGAGTACTACTACAGTTTTACCATATCCATGGGCCACAGTGCAATATTTTTTTGGATAAAAAAGGCCAAAATAAAAATCATAATTAGTAAGCAGATTTACTGCAGTTGGTCGATCAAGTACCATTTCCCCCTCTGTTTCTACAATCACATTCACACACCAATCCATGCGCTTTTACGTGGATCACAGCATGACGTCTCAATGCAAGCGAAACGACCATACTTGCCATGCGGAATGTTCATGCTAAACAGTGGTTCAAGCTCTTCCCTCTCGCCTTCGCATTTTCAGAAATTGGACGCACGACCAAGTGAAGCTCCACATACAACAATGGTTCCGGTGAGATCGCCGATCTCATGTGGCGGCGTTCCAGACGGCCCCTTCGCCTTCGCCGCAGGCCTTGTGAATGTGCCGCATCCGGTCCACCGACTTGCAGACGCCGCTGCACGACCAGTCGAAGGACGCCACGCACACGTTCCCGGCTCGCTTCTTCCACTCGCAGTCTGCACAGGACAGAGACGCAGCAGGCTCGCCGTTGCAGCTGAGCACTAGGTGAATTATTCAGGAGAAGAGGAGGTGGTGCTGTACCTGGAGGCGTCGCGCAGCACATGCTCCGGTCGTCGACGTGCTCGACCTCGAGCCCGATCAACCACGCGCCCAGGGAGACGTCCTCGTTCGCGAACCTGTGCAGGATCGGCCTGGAAAGTGGAAACGATACACGTACGTCAGGCACAGAGGAACGCGACCACACATGACACAGTGCAAGACATATGGCAGTCAGGAAATAACTGGTTGATGGAGATGTAGGCGGCGAGATCCTTGGAGATGGCGTAGATTTGGCCGGTGGCGTGGCGGAAGTACTTGTTGCCCTCGTCACCGAACTTCCAGTACTCTGGCTCGTGGTACTTCACTCCTCTGCAACAGATATACAAACATATACAGGTCTCACTCGACAGAACCAAAAATGCTCTTGCTCCTGTGTTCTTATATAATAGGAGTGGAGATTTTTGCTCACTTCTGTGACAGGACAGGCCCGGACTTCATGCAGCCGACGTACACCCTCGGCCGCGTCCTGTGTTTCGCCAGCCTGCTCGACAGCATCCCTGCAGTTAGAAACGAGATCCTTGAGAATTGAGACTTACGAAGGAGCACCAGCACCACTACTACCCTGTACGTAACGACTTGACACGACTCGCTGCAAATTGCAATGAATGGCAGCACGTAACGTACGTACCGAGGTTGAGGTGGATGTCGTCGTCGACCTTGACGTAGAAGTCGGCGTCCCAGGTGGCGACGGCGGTGGTGAAGTAGGTCCTGGTCTTGGACGACAGCTCGTGGTAGCCCTCGGCGTGGTCCAGCCGCAGGAAGTCCCTGGTCTCGGCCTCCTCCGCGTCCAGGGCGCGGTCCAGCGCGCCGCCGCCCGGCGTGCCGCTGTGCCCGATCACGAACCGGATCACGATCCCCTTCTCCTGCTCCAGCTTCCTCAGCTTATCCCCTGCAGGCGCCGTGTTATGCGCGCACACCAATGGCTTACTGGTACGGTCCATGCATGTGTGCGTGGTGGGTGGTGTGTACCTCTGGGGACCCAGGTGTCACGGAGCGAGTCGCGGCGCTTCTTGCTGGTGAAGGCCGTGTTGATGCCCACCACGATGAAGGCCTTCTGGGGAGTCCTGCTGCTGGATGCCACGGCACCGCCGCTGCCGCTCCTCGCGCGCTCCACGGCCATCTCCATCTCCAGGGTGGACACCGCCTTGTCCAGCGACCTACAAGTTCAGCAGCGCACCACGAGTCCACGACCCGTGAGTCCATGACCTCGCCGTAGCGTACACCGTGGAAGAATGTGGATTTCAAAGACAAAAGGCGTGCAATGCATGCATGTGGCTGCTGGCAAGTTACTTAGCAGCTGCAGCGTTCGATTCGAGACGGGATGCTTACTGGATTGCTTGATGAGTCCTCGACACCTCGTTCAGGAGATCCTTGGGGTGGTTCTCTCCAAGTTTCTGGTCAGAGATTCAGAGTTCGATCAGATATACAGATGATGAGTGCCAACGAGTACGCGCAGTAACGGTGCAAGGCTCTGTGAGTCGGTGACAAAATTCTAGGAGTACGTAGTATATACTATTACTTTACCAGCAGAAAAAAAGCGGGTTCTAAGCAGACTTACACGCTTGCTGTCACAGCCGGAAACACGAACGCTCTTCTCGTTCTCGGCACTGTCCCTTCTCGAGGACGCCGACGCCGACATCAGCGACACATTGCCGCTGAGCAGCAGCCCCACAACGAAGCTCGTCACGCACAGCGCCGCGACGGCCTTCCCCGACAGCGGCGCCCTCCCCCGCGGCTGCTTCTTCTCCAGCTGCGGCTGCCGCTCCGTCAGTGCCTGCACCAAAGGCACGGAAACAGCGTCACTTCACTGCAGATAGCAGGAGGAAATCTCAGAGACTCGTCGACATGCATGACGAGCTGACATCGTCTGAATGCACACACAGACGCACCATCATTGCTCGCAGCAGCTGGGGCGGGAGCTAGCAAGGCTACTTCTCTCTGCTCAAGAGCCCGTAGGCCGCTACGACTAGGAGCGCGACGCACCAGGGTGGCAGTGTATGGCCCGGGCACCTGGAGGTCGGAGACGATTTATGTGACGAGGCGCGAGCAACACGCCTGCTATCTGCCCGGGCCGCCTGCACCGCGGGAGGGTTCGGTTCGGGGAGCCGTTTCGTGTGAGGCGCCCCAACTCTCACGCCGACCGTGTGAGGCTCGTAGCCGAGTCGCAGCGCGGGAGCACGAGAACCGTCGATCTCAGTCCGGAACTCTGGATGGACCAATCATCAGTTGGCCTGGCCGGAAAAGGACGGGGAAATGGGAGGGAACGCGTGGCCATTTTCAGTTATGGTGGAGATAGATCGTTCAGTTCTGAGGCGTCTCAACTTTTATCTTTGGGAGCCTGTACAAGTAAAGCCAGCTGATGGCAGTTTACTGATTTCCCGCGTGAAGTTTCACTGAAGCCGTTGCACTTGATTCAGCTACAACTGGTTGACGTACCTGTACCTGTAACTTGTAACGACATATACAAATCAATATGATAACGTATGGCATGGCGGAATTTCAGCCATCCGTGACTGATCAAAGAAGCTCATCTGCAGCAAAACTCTCGCTCTCTCAGAAGAATAGCATTAGTCATGATTGGCGCGAATCAAGTAAAGCATTCCTAGTTAGCTGGTAGCTACACTTTAGACGAGCCGCAAGCTTCAACATTATGTCGCCACGCCCCGTAATACTTATGTACGCCTTGTTACGCCTTGTTACGACAGGAAAAAGGATACATGGGATAAAAACCAAAGCTACAGCCTCAATTTGAATTGGTAGAAGCAGTTTTCACCATCCATGTGAGTGCTCATATATATACTTTTCATCAATGGAGGACCATTGTAAACATACAAACATCCAGCAATGTGTCCTGACGCTAGTTTCATGTCTTCAGCATATACTTCTTTTGTTGAAAGACTCCATTGTCAGGTTGGCAGTGAAGGCTGGTATGGAGTTCATCCTCCTTATGAAGATGTCGACCTGAAAAGTATGGTTAGATCTTCTGAGGCAGTAAATTCCACTTCCAATTCGATACAAATTAAAAACCGTCTTGGAGTTAACTGTTCTAACAATGCCAACCATAAGTGTACAGAGGTTAGGTCAGACTCAGATCCATAACAAATGTATTTATTTATGGACAAACTACTAATGGGGAACTTCACTGTTACGAACAGTTGACTTCCTATGGTCAACATACCAACTAAACAATCAACACAAGTGCAACCCTCAATAGCAAATGTGATTTTATCTAATCACGTAGATTAGTCTGTTCCAGCCTGGTTCAAATATCAGAGCCTCAGAACCTTGAACATGTCATACGAGCTCAGGAATCAAGTTCCAAAGAAAACAAATGTATAGTTTTAAGATGGAGACTGGGGACTTCAAACAGCTAGGGTGCATGAGTGCTTGCAACTTGCTAGTAAAATGAAATTAACCAGCTTAATACCTGCTGAGCAATTTCGTGTTGGGACGTGTAGTCGTTGACCTGTATATATCAGTAACATCAAATGATGTTCCAGTAAAATATATGAAAGACCATTTCAACAGTGTGATAGTCTTACCACGATATTAGTGCTTCCTGATTCATAGTCAAACTCAAGCTTTTCATCATCGCTTTGGGCATAAACTGACTGCAGAATAAAGCGTGTTACAGGGATCCCATTTGACTGTTGCTGATCATTCATCACTATCTAAAACCATGAAACAAGAAAGGTTAAGCAAAGTTATCATTTATGTTGAATAGCTGGATAGAGTTAGAAGCATGCAAGAAGGAAAATTCAACACAATATAGTAACAGAGGAAAAAGTGTACATGAATACATGATGTTTACTGAAATTGACATCACAAATGCAAACCTCAAAATTTTGCCTCCAAAAGACAAGCTGAAGATTATCATTACAATAAAATATAAAGATGGACTCTATTGACCTCCAGTAACAAGGTGCATATTGCCTTTTAGCTTGAGTCTTGCTGTTGGGCATTAAATTGCTCAACACATAACTCTGTTAAACTCAACATTGAACAACAGATCTACAGCTACATTTCAAGATCCTGCTAGTCGTATTTCAATTGATTGCATCTAAGAAAAATGAATACAGAATTTCTACAGGTGGCTAAAACAGTTAAATGGAGAGAGAAGGGGTTGGGGGGTTATTTAGCAAAAAGCTGCCCTCATATGGTGTGTGTTACATTATCATTACCTTGTAACCGAAAAGGGAGCAGCAGGCTTTCCGGAAGACCGAGATCCTCTCCGCAAACACCGCCTTGTATCTGTTTTGAACAAAGTACAATATTATAACAAACAAAATGTATAACAGATTCTAGAGGAGAAATAATAGGCTGCACACCTTTCTTCACGTTTTTCAAGTGTCGCAATTTGATTCTTAAGTTGTGCCAACTTTTCAGCAATATTAGCGTCTACCACAGTTCCAGCATCTGCATGTCAATGTTCCATTTATAAGTGCACTCAAAGAAAAATAACAAGGAATTGAGTGTAAAAGGTACAGGCTATCCAAAGACAGTTCACTCCATTTAAATACAGATTATCTTGTAACTTTTGTTATACTAAGCAACTACTCCAAACACAAACCAGTTAGCAAATACATTGTAGACTAGAGTAAGCAGAAGCAGTAAACAAGTTTTTGCATACGACAATAAATTAAAATAGAAATCCGTAGGATCATGAACAGTACAAATAATGTGAGATGTGACTGCATACCAGCTTGTCCTTTCAGTTCCTCAACTGCCTGCAGCCTCTCTTTTGTTTTCTTTAGTTCAGCTTGTAGTGCTTCTATTGTCTGCTTGGCTTCATTGTCGACTCCAAGAGTATTTACCATGCGCAGTACTTTTGTGCTTGAGGCAGAGTAATCTCCATGACCTAACTGTCAAATATGACAAGAACTTTGAAGCTAGCACAAGCATGGCACACAGGAGAAATGTTGCAAGTTAAATTAGTAGAATCCACAGAGTACATATCAATAACTGCGCACTCAACTAACTGTATTTTAAAGATGCAGGATTTATACATGTGCTAAGTTTCACAAGACAACACCAGTAGACAAAGGATAATCATGAGACATCAACAAAACAGACATCTTCAGCATAAAACCATCCACCAAAGTTTCATTGGAAGCAGAACAGCACAACCACCCTTAGTTTTTTATGCTTCAGCTCATAGGCCTGGGAGTTATAGCAGAAGTTCCTATACCTAGTGGTTCAGGGATGCTAAAGATATGACAAGATGGGACATGCTCACTGAGTCAATGTACCAGCAGGAATAAAGCATGGATACTCCACTGAAACTGATAAATCTACACCAATAAGACATTGGCAAATAAGAACCTGCCCTAAAATGTGCAAAGAGCGAAAGTCAAGAATATTATTTTAACACTGCTATATGTACAACCACATTACAACTGGCATGGCGTAACAAATATGTGCTTGAGTCAGGCAACCAGCAGAAGATTCTGTTGTAACGCGGTTGTGCGACAAACCGACAATCATGTGAGCAATTCCTTTTTTTTTTATTGGTCAGGAACACTGACATAGGTTTCTTCAGAAAAAAAAAGGAAGACTGGCATAGTGGAACAAGTGTGTGCATGAGCAAGGAAGCAAGCAGAAAGACATTGTCACATCGTAGTACTGTAGAGAGACAACCTAATGTCTCCCATTTAAAGAAAAAATTGTGGACACGAACATTTCTGTTAACCTGCCTAGCACCAATTAATCTAACTTTGTGACATCTAAGAGATTTCGGCAGTATATCCAACAAAAACATATTTCAAGAATTATATTGGGGCATATGAGGCTGACCTTTTTTTCTACAACTGTTCCAAATAACAGAGTAGGATTATCAAGGAAACAATTTAACGGGTGATCTTGGGGGGTCCTTACCTTGGACTCTAGTAAGGCCACCTGAGAGCGTAGCTGATCTCCCTCTCGCTCCAAGGACTTCACTTTCCTTGTTTCAAGGCTTAATCTTTCGTTCATTATATTGAGTTCAGTGTCCTTGTGACTAATCAGTTCTTTCAGCTCGTGTATAATGCTCTCCAGCTCTCTTATCGCTTTTTCCATCCCAGACTGATCCGACTCCGTAGGATGTTCCTTTCTCAGCTTATCTCTTTCTTCACTGATTGCAGCAAGCTGACCACAAGAATCAGGCAAGAATGAACAGAAGTCTAAGCATATACGGCACATGAAGATATGGTTTTTCAAACTGCATATGAATCTACACAGGTAGTGTACATAGGGATAAAAAATAAAAAAGGGCATACCCAGTGCAGAGAGCTCCCGCTCTATGCGGGGTCTGGGGAAGGGTGTCAGTGGTATGCCTTACCCTCGCCTGTGCAATGCGAGGAGACCGCGACTCGAACCCGGGACCTTCCGGTCACAGGCGGTAAGACTCTACCGCTTGCACCAGGCCCGCCCTTCACATAGGGATAAAAAATAGAAAATAGAAAATTACTAGTGTAGAAGGTAGACGGTACCATAAGCTCAAGCCGCTTGACCTCCTTAGTAGCACTTTCAGCCCTCACTTTAGCAAGGGTGGCTTCACCTTCTGCACGTTGCTTGCTGAGATCAGCAAATTCTAATGCAACCTCTAATTCTTTCAATCTTGATGTTACCTCACCAACTTTGTTCAAATTTGTCAATGCTTGCCTGTTAATCATTCAGATGACCACGTGAATTTCATATGAAGAAAAGATGAGCAACAAAACTAAAATAATAACCTTTCATGCAAAAGAAACCTATATATCATGTTTTATAAGTTGCAATATGTACTGGCAGTTTTGCATGATTGCATCATAAGAACATAATACACTGGATAGTGTAAATGGCAATGAAATATCAAAGAAAATTTGAGTATGCACACTTTTGCAGATCTGCGATCTTTTGAGGTATGTCAGCATAAGAAGACACATCTGGTATGTTGCTGAGCAGTGCTGTACAAGATGCTAATTCAAGCTCCAGCTTATGTGCTTTGGCATCAATTTCCTGCAGTTTTGATAATTCAAGCTCTGCTCTTTCCCTGCGCCCCTGCTCCTCCAATAGCTTTTCTTTCAGCAACTCAACATTCGTGTGGGAAGACTTCAACCTTTTAGCTTCATGCACTTCTTTTTCCTACATAAAAAGATATAATCATATGGATTAACAGTGTAATTTCAGAAAATGCCTAGCAGGTCCTTGAACAGTATTATTGGTTTTAGGAAACTGCATAGCAGGTCATTACTGAAAGAACAGACATGTCTCAAACTAAGGGATACAGGAATCTATAACAAAATAAAAGAGAGTGACACTTCATCATGCAAAACCGATACAGCATCGTGTAACTAAATGCACCGCATGGTAAAAGGGTGCCTTGATAAATGTAGTTATGCACTTGCTCAGTTTTTTTTCTTATTTCTGTACCAAAACTTTGAGAACATCTGCTGTTGACTTTGACATAGGGTGATCTAACTAGCCACATCTGTTGTCCCTTGTGACAGTACTGCATTTACAATTTTACATGTGTTGAATGGAAAAACGGGAAATTATAGATAGGAGAAAAAACAAGATAGCTATGTGGGAGTAATGTATGTGTACCTAGACTCAAAAGTAGCAGAGTTTGCTTCAAGAAGAAACTATCCAATCAATCACATTGTATCAATATTGGAACTTCCAAGATATAGGTAACATAACTGGAATGCCCCGCAGCTTAGAGAGTTCCTTGAACTAAACTATATCATCGAGAAGGTATACATGTTGTATAACAATGTTAAACTGAGAACTTTTATTCTGGCCAAAAAGAACTGGATTTCCTAGCCGTATAGATAAAAGAAGAATGTCACAAGACAAACTGCATGAAATAAATTTACATCAAGCATCTACATGGCAACCATCTACCATCAAGGAGACATCAAATTTGTGAAATGCTTACATAATTCCGGAGCTCCTCTTGCAAGAGCTTGATCAACTTCTGGTCATCCGTTGAGGCATGTTGATTAAGCAAAGCACTAGAGTTCAATAGCTTGAGCTCCATTTCATTCTTCTCATGGAGACACTGATCAAGACCATATAAAATATAAATTAGTTTCAGTGTGTGACTGTGGAACCAAATGAAGAACCAATAGATACAGGTGTGGATATTTTTGTTAGGGGCTCCATTTTCAGAAGGACAAGAACTGGAAACAGTATAGACAATATAATTGTGTAAATCAGATCAATACTGAGTACTGACCTCGTCGAGTTGCTTTTTCAAGTTGGTCAACTGCTCGTTCAACAACTTTGCCTCACTCTCATAGTTTTCTGCTCTGAGTCTTGTTTTCTCAAGCTATCCCAAATGTTTAAAATAGATAAGTCAGCAGGCAACCACAAATAGATATTTCAACAGTTTAACCATACAAACCTCAGCATTATTTTTGGAAGCAGATAAGGATAGGTCTTCTTTCACATATGAAAGTTCCTTCTTAAGGGTTTTCTTCTCCCTTTCTGAACTTTCAGATAATCGATGCAAATTCCCTTCCAAGTCTTTGATCAATTCCTTCGCGGATGATACTGATGATTCTGCACTGATCCTAGAATCAATCTCTTTATTGAGTTGTACCTACATTACCATGAAGCATGGCACTATTCATGTCCACTGATAAAACAAATATATGATATGCTACATTGTAGTTTAAATATGGCCATAAACACTAATTCATAGATCTGACATAGGATTACCACCATGGTATATCATAATAAAACACATGTTTTATGCTCCCTCCACCCCGAGAAAGGGACAAAATGCACTGACAAGTGACAAGAAACAACACCCTAGCAAACATGAAGCATGATACTCGTTGTATCAGCCCAGAGCAATTTCAATGCTACATATGATGCAATAGTGAATATGGTAGACACGAGGCAGTCAAGGCACTCCTGCACTGAAGTTCCTTGCAAGAAACACAGGAATACAACAAATGGAAAGATGCAGATCATGTGTCAAAAGGGGATTTCCCCAAAAAAGGATATGACAAAGGGTAAGAAGATAACCTCAAGTTCATTTATTTTCATTACTTGACCACAATACCGCTCCTGATATTCACTCAACTCCTTTAGTAGCCGTTCCTGTAATGCACTCTCCCGCCCTTTGGTTGCTGCTAATTCTTGCTCCACATAGTTAAGTTTATCCAGGAACTGCATCCTTGCATCCTCTACAGCAATAAATTGTAGTATGTTGATTCCACTTCTAGCAAAATAATACTAACAAAAGGCAACATCAAAACTACTTGTTTTCCCTAGTTTCATACCTCCTAGAAGTAAAGAACGTGTTGTAGATATAACTTTGAGGGTGGTCGTGTTTGACATATCTTGAAATGACAGTCGTAATTCATGTAGCTAATTAACACTTAACTGAAATAAACCCTATTCACACAGTATGCATAAGAAATCATGGTAGACCAAACATACCACTCTTAGATAATGGCTCCTCCAATGCAACAAGTTTTGTTTGATACTCCTGAACTTGCTTCTCTGCAGTGTCCAGTGCCACCATGAACTCTGATTTCACCTTTCGGAATTCAGAAATGCACACATGCCCCCCCCAAAAAAAAAAAAGAAGAAGAAGTCAATATGCATATCACAACGGCACACACAGTTAGTTTTAAAATATCAAAGCACATTGACTTCATTCCAGGATCTCCTTGATCCAAACAATTAATCATGTGTAAACTGATAGCTTCGATTCTGACGCGCGTGACCAAAACCGACATCAATAACATGTTTGGAAAGTAATAGGCAGCTCCCAATCGCTGTAACGAAATGCTTATACGAGTTAAAAACCCACAGGAGTACGAGGAAGGGTCGAAGCGATCTCACCATCTGGCGGCAGTGGTACGTGCAGACCATGTCGTCGAACGGCTCCCCGGGGGCGTCGGCAGGCACGAGGGCGGTGGGGCGGTCGTAGAGAACCAGGCGGCGATCGGAGACCGGTGTACGGCCGGTCGCGCTCGCGCCGCCCACGGATTTGACAAGAGCGAGGTCGGCGTCGTCGCCGGCGCTAGAGCTCGCGCGGCGCTTCCGCTGTGGTGGAGTCCGGAGAATCATCTCGCCGCCTTGTTCTCGCCCCCTGGGGTTCTGGAACTTCGGCAGTTCAGCTGGTTCCTAGGGTTTTGGACTTCTGGAGGGGAGGCCGGAGCGGCGTGGGGTGGGGAGCGGGGATGGAGGTGGAGGCGGTGGGGAAGGAAAGATTGAGCGATTCGATTTGAAAATCAAGCGGTGGGGAGGGACTTTTACATTTTTACCATTATTAATATCGCCACTCATCCGATTATCATTTTAGGATGACACTTACAACTTTACCAATTGAGAGAAATTTGAGTTTTTAATTTACCACATTTGTGCATGTGGCAAGCCACACCAGCCCTACACGTTGGCGCCCAGTCAGCAAAGACACGTGAAATGTCCTTGCTGCCCCTGTCTGGCTCCTCTTTCCCCCTCTCCGACAACCAGGTCCCGCAACTCCCATCGCTGTCAGGTGGGCCCCACTCATCGGCTTCGTCTTCCAACCGCCGTGAGCTGAGGTAGCTAGCTGCGCGATCCAGCTAGCGCGCCATTAAAGAGACCTCTTTCCCCCTCGACCGGCCACGACAAGCGCAGAGAGCAGCACACACAAGTACCACACGTCTCCACGAACCGACCCACCATTCCAGCCATGGGCAACCACAGGAAGCTCATGCACTTCCTCCGCATCGACCCGGCGGCGGCGATCTCCGCTCTCTCCTCCCCTCGGTCTTTCTCGTCCAACTCCTTCTCCGACAACGACGGCTACAGCTCCTCCTCCTTCCAAGGCTCCGTGTCGTCCTCGCCGTCATGCGGTCCCTGACCCCTTAAGTCGCCGTGGCGCGCCTCCGAACCTCGGCGGCGCGTCGGTCTTGATGACGCGACCGCAACCGAAAACTCATCGCGTCGCTCGTCAAGGAGGACGGCAAGGTGTACTTTCATTGGCGGCCGCCGCGGGGGCGTCTTGTGACACCGCAAGACGGACTCGGAGACCATCGCGGTGTGTGGTGGGACTAGCGCGAGCTCGCATGGGTTCCGGACCGGGAGCGGGCTCAAGGCCATTGTCGTGGCGCGTCGATGGTCGCATCTTCATGGGCCACCGGGGCGGCAAGGTCCGGGTGTGGCAGCATAACGGCGACGCCGGCGGTGCTACCCCACCGTCGTGCACCGCCCGCGTGGGTTGCTCCCGCCGCTCGGGGACCTCTGGTTAGCTCCGTGAACCCCTCCACTTCACGTCCTCTCGGCTGCGCTTGCGAGGCGGGAGGGGGGGGCCGCCAGCCAAGGCTGGTGTGTGCTCCGCCACTCGACGCGCCGTGTCATCGCTCAGCCTCGACGAGGGTGTCGGCATGCTCTACTCGGCCTCCTAGGACCACACCTTCAAGGCGTGGTGCGTCTACGACTACCGGTGCCTCAAGTCCGTGCCCGCGCACGACGACGCCGTCAACACCATCGCCGCGGCTGGGTTCAGCGGCCTCGTGCTCATCGGCTCCGGGTCCATCCCGCCGCAGGGCAAGCTCAGCAACCTCAAGAACCTGCTCATGTGCAATGTCCGGACACCGTTGCTGGAGGTGGAAGACGAAGCTGATGAGTGGGGCCCACCTGGCAGCGATAGGAGTTGCGGGACCTGGTTGTCGGAGAGGGGAGAGAGGAGCCAGGCAGGGGCAGCAAGGACATTTCACGTGTCTATGCTAACTGGGCGCCAACGTGTCGGGCTGGCGTGGCTTGCCACATGCGCAAATGTGGTAAATTAAGAACTCAAACTTCTCTCATTTGGTAAAGTTATAAGTAATTGCTATCCTAAGAGTGATAACCGAATGAGCGTCAATCTTACTAATAGTAAAAATGTAAAAGCCCCCGGTGGGGAAGGAGTCCGTATTTTTGTTTGGTACATGGGCGTGCGAAACAACAGTTCACACACGCATTAGCGAGTCTGTTCAAATCTCCCTCGATATTATAGGGCCTGTTTGGGAGGGTGCTCCTGGCCGGCTAGCGTGGCTGCAGCCAGCTGAAGCCTGATTCCATGGTGCAACTTCACGTGTTTGGTGTTGTGTTTCAACAGAGAAGCCTACTCTAGATCATGTTTGGTTTCTTGGACAGAGAGATTTGACCTCCTTGATCGTACAATTTGGTAATGTTACCCTCCAAAACTTCCATTCCTCTTGTCATTGGCATTTTGTCGAGTACATGCCGAGAACACCACTCGGCGGCGAGGATGAGACCGATTCTAGCTGGCCGGTGGCCGGTGACGGCCACGGTGGTGCCGCGTGTCCATCTAGGGCTCCGCGCGCGTCCGTGGAGGGGCGCAGCTCTGCTCGTGACGCATTGGGGCGGTGAGGCCACGGTAGCAGCCTGTGTGGCCATGGAGAACCCACGACCTAGGTGGCTAGATGTGGCGGCGGAGAGGGTGTTGCTGCTCAAGGCGCATCGCGCCGCGGGGAAGCTCATGGGTGCCGCCTCCGCCGCGCTGTTTGTCGCCGCACGAGGAGAGCCCCACTCTGCGCACCAGGTTCTACAGCTTCCTCCGCGCCTCCCTCGTGCTCTCCATGCTCCTCCTCGCCGCGCACCTCCAGGGCTGGCACCTGACCATCGACGTCCCCGACCTGCTCGTCGTCGAGGGCCTCTTCGCTGTCGGGTACGTGTCGCCTCGAGTACCTCGCAGCGACTGGATGTGCGCGCCGGACGCACCTAGCGACCACGCCCAGAGGCCAGAGGATGCAGGGAGCAGCGTGCAGCTTCACAGCGCGTCGAGGTGAGCGAGGCGCGACGGACGGCGTGGACTTAGGCGGGCGACGGCGTGGCCGCGCGGCGGCGTGGGGGAGGAGGAGGTCCGGGGTGGTGCGGAGGAGGAGGTGGTGTGGGAGGAAGGCGTTGTCGGCACACGAGGCCTCCTGTCGGCTGCCTTCGACTGCTCCGAGAGCGGTGGCTGGCGGCATGGGGAGGGAGCCCGCGGTTACCATAGTAGCGGTGGAGCTGGAGGATTCGACCGAGCGGAAGGTGAGGGAAGGAGACGGGCGGTCACCGTATCATTCCACCGAGGCCATGGAGCACTGAAAGGAGCTGGGCTATAAAAAAACGAAGGGTGGTTTCGTTTTCCTGGGGTTGACCCAACCTGCTTTAAGGTCCGTGCGGCGCAGGCTCCGAGGCTAGGCCAGGTGCACCAAACAGGGGAGTTGCAGCCCACGGGTGAGCCTGGCCATTGGGCCACCCTCCCAAACAGGCCCATAGTTTCTCAAGTTTCATTCCACCCGTTTAGAAGAGACATTCAAACTTAGTGTCTAAATTATGATTTAAAAAGTTATTTAAAAAAAAACCATTCTCTATATCTTTACATCATTCAAGAACTTTTCTATATTTCATATGCACTTTAGAGAATAAATCTCGTTCTTCATCTTTAGGGTGAGAAATTTGAAATAGATGGATGGGAGACATTTTTTTTACCAACATCTCTATTTTTATGAATAACAAAGGATATTAAGAGGTACCTAGAGTTGCTTTTACGGTAACTCCAAAAGCTCTTTGTATCTTTCCTTGTTTTAAGGATAGAAAGTTTAGTGGAAAATGTTGTTTAACTGTTTTTCAATCAGATGTTCAAATATTATAATCATTCTCTATTCTGGATTTTCTGGCTAGCAAAAGATTAAGAGAGGTATTGATTCTGTAGAGTACATACAACATACAAGGTAGAAAAACTGTTAGAGGGTGGAAAAAATGTAAAGACTGAATTTTATTCAAATGACTTGTTGATTTAAAGATTAAGTTTAAAATAGACTCTAAGAGATGTTCTTAAAAATATTCATTATTATTAAAATATCATGTGTGTGTTTTATGGTGTGGCAAAAGAATGATACACTAAATAAAAAAAAACATGAAACCATGTGTATAGTTTTGCACCTTGCGTACGGAAACATTTTTGGATGTAACAGCCTGTGAAATAACATCGCTTGCAAGTTGCCGATTGAGACTCATTTGTTTGATTAGGATTGGTGCCCAAGAAAATACTATTTTCATTCTAAATTATAAGATAGTTTAGTTTTCTATGTATATAGTTGTTATGTATCTAGATATATAGTTTTTTTTCTATGTATTTATAGATACATAGCAAAAGCAACACAACACTGTTATGGCTAATATATCCTATTTGCTATAGTGCTTTGTGTCTCAGTAGGATGGCAGCAGCAGCCGCAGCCACAGCGGCTGATTTAGAACAATCTTATAATAGAAATCCACCGTCAACGGAATAGAAATCTCATTGCATCATCTCCTAGAAAGAATACCATTATACCATCTTTGGAATCCTAATCATCCTTCAATTAATCCGTTGATCCATCATCGTACTTATATGGCATGCATTGATGCAAATACATAGACGTAATTAATCAACGGCAATCGTGACTTATAAAATACAATTTATGACTCTCAAGCTAACGAGCTAGTTCTAACGACAACCGTACTTATCTACGTATCCATGTTGTCGAATAAGGCATCATTTCTCAACAATTATTTTAGTTATATAAACCCAAATTATTTCTTTATTCTATTCTATCAATCTAATCCTTTATTCGCAATAGGACATCATTATCTATTTAGCAAGCTAATTATTCTGGAGTTACAAAAATTACAGTGAGTACCTAATATTGCTAGGAGCCTACTGTACAAATTTCAGATTCAACAATATTACCAATTCATCACAATAATTCCTGCAAGTTTATATTTTTATAATATTAAGTATCTTAATTTAATTATATAGCTTCCAAGAATATTATTAAAATATGTGACCAAAATATACTATTGAATGGATCATGATTTTAGAAACTCAACAAAATTAGTTTGTCATTTTTATAATTTTTCTATGATTTACTACGAATTTTACAAATTTATTTACGAAACTAAATTAACAACGTCTTCGAACTAACTGGACCGGCAACCACCACTCGACCCAGCGGTCAAGGCGGTGGCCCAGCAGCGTGGCGCGACCCACAGGGGCGCGCGGCCCAGTGCACAGCGCGGCACCAGGCCGGCCTAAGCGGCGCAGGCGGCGGCCCAAC